CTATGGGATAGGAACCACTAAGCCCAGGCCACAGAGTGCTGAGTGTGGACACACTGAACTGCTTTACAGAGCCAGGCTAGTAATGCAAGAGCAATGGGTGCTAGAAACCCTTACTTGTAACATTTAGCCGTGGATCAGAGCCATTTTTTGAGTACGGACAGGGCTGGAAGGAGCTGATGGAAAGGCAAGCAGGATCCCAACAGCTGTGTCCATCTAGGCATAACCAACATTACCAACTCTCCTTGGTGGGATAACTCAAACATTGAATTTTCCCCCTCTTCAATTCCTCACTCCAGTAGAATCTGGCGATCACAAGAACTGCGAATGCGGGAGACCACTCAGCAGCAGCTTTACTTGCACTTGTATCTTTGCTTTAACCCAGCCTTTGTTCTCCTCTTCCTCTTTCTTGCAGCTAAGACATAAATCCAGGTCCTGACCACCTGTGGTATTCAAGTTCCCATGGCACTTTTTCTAAAATAAGGGGTGTCACCTCCATTATTCTGGCTAAACTCAGGTAACTACATTTTCCCTACCTCAGCTCCCCCATCGGTTTTGACTGGAAAAAGATATTCTCCACCTTCTGTCCTAATTGGTGGTGTAATGTTGCTGTGAAGTGCAGAGCTGCTTTTCTCCCTCTCCTCCCCAGAGGTGGCTGCATTTCATGGGTGGGAGAAAGCAATCCCACCATATCCAATACCCTTTCCTGTTGTGAGATTTAACTTGGTGTTGTTTAAAACCTTCGGTTAAAGTTTCTGTAGACGTGTAAAATCAGAGGAGCCTGATTTTCAATGATGTTTAACACCTGCCACCATTCCAGTGGAAACTGCAGATACTAGAAAATTGGGCCCATTCTTAACACAGAAGAAGACAAGGTCCCTGACCCAAAAAGTTTGCAATGTTTTCCCCTTTGTAGAGTAAAACAACTAATAAATCATCCATCAGGAGAAGATTTAAACACAAGATCTTGTAGGGTAAATATTAATTTTCTGTGCAGTCATCCATCAACATAACATGTTCAACTCAAGTGTCATTATAAATCCTCATGTCAGAAACATATTTTAAGTTCTTCTACAGTTCACACATCATAAAGAATTTGACAGGAATGCCTCAGCACAGGGACTACAAACCCCAGTCCTCCCCTCAGCTAAGTGCTAGCTAGTTAGATGTTTAACCCCTAAACTAAAATCAAACAAAACTAAATAGTAAGTAAATAAATAGATGATTCACTGGTCTAATCCAGAGTGGTATTTCCTTTGGTTCTGTCTGAGAAGTAGACAGCACCGGAAGATTCTGTGCATTTGTATCTAAGGCTACTGGGGGAAGGGATAGCTCAGTGGTTTGAGCTTTGGCCTCCTAAACCCAGAGTTGTGCATTCAATCCTTGAGGGGGTCAGTTAGGGATCTGGGGCACTAAAATAAAAATAAAAAAACTGTCAGGGACAGTACTTGGTCCTGCTGTGAAGGCAGGGGACTGGACTCAATGACCTTTCAAGGTCCCTTCCAGTTCTGAGATAGGTATATCTCCATATAAACATTGTGTGTACAATGCCTACCCAGAACATTAGGTAATTACTTGGTCTAGCTGGATTAAAGCTGCCTCGGGGCTGTCTCTATGAGATGCAATCATATCCAGTGATTGCAGTGTAGATATACCCTCTGGATCATGTCACTGTGCACCCTTAATCTTCTTTTAATGCCTTTTCATTGATATATTTATATGGATATATTATTAAATCTGCAAACAAACCAAAGTGCACAAAATTGCCCTTTTGGCATGACAAATATACATCCCCTCTTCCAGATACAGTGTGTGTTAAAGAATTACTATTATCTGACATGGGCTCAGAGATAACATTTCCACGTGGGTGATCTTTTCCCATTTCCTCCCCAAATTCTGTATTTTGGAGGGCAATAGTTAATCAGGCCAAAGATCACTGTGGGGAAAAAGACGAGCTGGCAGAATTTGAAAGAGGATTCGAGTCCTTTCATCTCAGCTTCTCACTGTAGACTCTCAATACAGAAATGAGTTTCACAATAGGTTCTAAGGCACCACTGCCTCCGATTTTGTTCAGTAGAGCAAAGTGCAAGACAGTTGTGGAGACAGAGGTCACAGGAATCTTGAGGGCAAGATTATGCAACTCTTACTCCCGTCTATGGGACATTTTGAATGGGTAAGGGTTCACCAACGGAAGGGTTGCACAACCCAGCCCTAAAAGTCTGGCAATTAAATTAAATGCAAGGGCCAAATTTTATCTCAAGAGCTGTATATGCATGTGAATGAAAATGAATGGGGAATGCCTCTTGGGCCCTGTGCCCCAAACCAGAGAGAAAGGTGAGTCCAGTGGCTAGCCCAATAGTCTAACACTTGGGAGACCGCAGTGCAATTCCTTGCTCTGCCACAGACTTCCTTTATGACCTTGGGCAAGTTACTTCATCTCTGCGTGTGTCATTTCCCTCCCTACCAAATGGGGACAGTAGCACTTTCCTACCTCAGAGAGGTGTTTTGAGGAGAAATATGTTAAATAGAGTGGGGTGCTCAGATCCTAGTGATGGGGTCCATAGATAGACCACAGAGCATGGTTTGGGGTAGAAATGGGGTGTTCCTATGCAAAGAGAAGACATGGTACAGGTCATCTTTATCCATACAGCACTTTTTAGAGCATGCTATTTCCCAAGTGACATCCAGAAGGAAAATAATTTGATTACTAACACTCATGCATTTAATGATAGTGATTAATAACAGTAACCACTTACTAATAGTTCATGACTATACCTATGCAAGGCTTAAAAGGAAAACTTTACATATACAGGCCCTGATTCAGGTCTGACTTGCACCAGTGCAAATGAGGAGTGACTCTGCTGCAGTTACTGCAGTTGCATTGGAGTCAAACTGGTGTAAGTGAGGTTACAATCAAGCTAATGACTTGGGCTGGGTGCAGAGCTGACCCTCCTGAATTAGGGGGCCGATATAAATCGGAACCTATTATTATTTATTAGATTGTGTTGTGGTAGCACCCAGGACCCCCAGATATGGACCAGGACCCCATGGTGATAGGCACTGTACAAACACAGACAAAAAGACGGTCCCTGCTCCAAACCCAGATGCAAATGGTGGGACTTGAGAAGATCCCTGCTGATGACAGCAGTGATGCTCCCAGCACATGAAGTCCTGGAGTCACCACGTCTCACTGAATATCGGGTAGTGCACGAGACCGTAACAGCACCGTTATGCCAGTTACATAGCAGGGAAGAGGGCAAATTAGGGCTAGATCATACATTTAGATGCACAGAGTGAGCAACTTCTGTGCTCCCCACTTGTCCCTGACCCTTGCTCATAGAATTCAAGGGGTGGCAAGTTTCCTTATTCCCACACACCCTTTTGCACCCCCATTAAGGACAAGAGACAATCTGGCTCTTACTGACTAGCCATGCATCACGGTGATTCATTGACACTGATACGTTCCAGCTTCTCCAAGACCCTCTGGAATTGTCAGAGGGTGCTTCATAGATAAGAACTTCTCACGAGGAAAATGCCACTGTGCCCTGTAAAATGGGCCCAAGCTGATTCCACGTAGAGTGTAACTCCAGATGTCACTCTATGATCAGATTCCGCATTAGGATTAAGGCCGGGCGCAACCAGGGCAGGGTTTTTTTTGGGGGGGAGCCCATCTCATTCAAACATGAGACCATAGAATGGTTCAGTGCCTTTCCCATTGGTTGGCCGGAACAAAATAACCATGTGAAGCTGTGCCACCACAAAGTCATGATCTCCTCCTGCCATCAGGAAAGCACCTCCCTGCATGGTGACATCACGTCGTATCACTGCACCACAGCACTGCCGAAATAAAGGAAGGACTCTAACTGCAGAATAAGGGACAGACCCAGGGAAGTCAGAACTGTTCTGTGAATTTCAGGATGCCGGGCATCTACACCCCAACTGTCAGTGGCATCTCACCACCACAGATGCTAAAACCAGCAAGGCAAATCTATAGGACACTGGAGGGTACAAGAGAATACCCAACAACTTTGAATGCACACATTTATCCATTGTTGTATGCAGTGTTGTTGGAGCCGTGTCGGTCCCAGGATATGAGAGGGACAAGGTGGGTGAGGGAATATCTTTTATTGGACCAACTTCTGTTGGTGAGAGAGGCGAGCTTTGGAGCTAACACAGAGCTCTTCTTCTGGTCTGGGAAATGTACTTAATGTCACAGTTAATGGGCCTCTTCACCTTGAACGGTCCCTTGAAATATTTGTTAATGATTTACTCCGAACAATCTCCTCCACCTTGTGTTTAGCTGTGACACTCGGAGTACGTTTCCCAGACCTGTAGAAGAGCTCTGTGTAAGCTCAAAAGCTTGTCTCTCTCACCAACAGCATCTGGTCCAATGACAGATATATTACCTCTCCCACCTTGTCACATTCATCCATTGTAAGAGGAGAGAAGATTCTCGAGAAGAACCTGCTGTCTGAGGCCATTGACTCTATGCGTTCTGCTTTCAGGTATAAGCACTAGGTAAACAGAAGCTAAGACAATAAGTTAAGATTTGGTGTGACACACGGAGTGAAATTCAGCCCTGTTCACCGTGAGCCAGCACAACAGCTACACCCTGCATAAATCCCCTTTAAGCCTTCAAAATAGGGGCCTACACGGTATGTAGGCCTGGGACTGGCCTTTTGCACAGGGGTGAATTTTACCCCTCATGAGCATTAATCACTGAAGTAAATCATTTTGCAGCCATCTGAACAAGCTGCTGCGCTTGCAAGGACTTATCAGGCAGCTGATAATGATGTAATCTAATCTAGGAAATATACATCAAGGACAGGCATTCGGTAATTAACATAGGGTGAAATCAAAAAAGATATTGATACAAGAAACCCCGTATTAAGAGCTTGTCTATTCCTAAAACACCATGCATGGAAGCCTTTTCTTACAGAATCAGACTGTTCACACATGGAGTAATTCAGGAATACCTATTCCGCTTTAAGTTCATACTCTACCTTCTTCTGGAGTAACTTTCATGTGTAGATAGGCCCTGAGACAGTGTTAACTTAAAGGAGACTTGCAAAGAAAAAGAAAAAAAATATTGGACGTATGCCATTTTGTGCTTCTGTATCAAACTGGTCATGAAACCCCAAGTCAGGAGCATTTCACCAGGTTTGGGGCTCACCACGCCACCACGCTGCACAGAGACCAGGTCAGGCCGGGCTCTGCAGCTGCGCTGCCCGGCAAGAGCTTGCCGCCCCACCACCCAGAACATTGTGCCGGCGGCGCAGTGAGCTGAAGCTGCAGGGGACAGGGAACAGCAGGGGAGGGGCAGGGGGGCTAGCCTCCCGGGCCAGGAGCTCAGGGACCAGGCAGGAGGGTAAGCACCCTGGCGAGCCGCATGCCAAAGGTTGCCGATCCCTGATCTAGACCATATTTCCCTAGTTTGTTTATGAGAATGTCATTAGAGACAGTATCAAAAGTCTTACTAAAGTCCAGGTATATCACATCCACTGCTTCCCCCCATCCATTAGGCTGATTACCATGTCAAACAGTAAATTAGAATGGTTTGGCATGATTTGTTCTTGACACACCCAGCATGGCTATTACTTATCACCTTACTATCCTCCCGGTGTGAACAAACTGATTGTTTAGAACATAAGAACGATCATACTGGGTCAAACCAATGGTTCATCTAGCCCAGTATCCTGTCTTCTGACAGTTACCAATGCCAGGTGCTTCAGAGAGAATGAACAGAGCAAGGCAATTATTGAGTGATCCATCCCCTGTCATCCGCTACCAGCTTCTGGCAGTTAGAGGCTTTGGACACCTAGAGCATGGGATTGCATCCCTGATCATCTTGGCTAATAGCCATTGATGGACCTATCCTCCATGAACTTCCTAATTCTTTTTTGAACCCAGTTATAGTTCTGGCCTTCACAACATTCCCTGGCAATGAGTTCCACAGGTTGACTGTGCGTTGTGTGAAGAAGTACTTCCTTTTGTTTGTTTTAAACTTGCTGCCCATTAATTTCATTGGGTGACCCCTGATTCTTGTGTTATGTGAAAGAATAAATAACACTTCATTTTTCACTTTCTCCATACACCAGTCATGATTTTCTAGACCTCTATTATAGCCCTTTTAGTTTATTCTTTTTCAAGCTGAAAAGTCCGTCTTTTTAAATGCTCCTCATGTGGAAGCTGTTCCATATCCTAATCATTTTTGTTGCCCTCCACTGTACCTTTTCCAATTCCAATATATCTTTTTTGAGAATGGACAATCAGAACTGAATGCAGTATTCAAGGTGTGGGCGTACCATAGATTTATATAGAGCCATTATGATATTTTCTGTCTTATCCCTATCCTAATGGTTCCTAACATTCTGTTAGCTCTTTTGACTGCCACTGCACATTGAGTGGATGTTTTCAGAGAACTATCCACAATGACTCCAAGATCTCTTTCTTGAGTGGTAACAGCTAATTTAGACCCCACCATTTTGTATGTATGGTTGGGATTAAATTTTCTAAAGTGCATTACTTTACATTTATCAACATTGAATTTCATCTGCCATTTTGTTGCCCAATCACCCAGTTCAATGAGATCCCTTTGGAAGTCTTGGGTCCGTTTTGGACTCAGCTATCTTGAATAATTTTGTATCATCTGCAAATTTTGCTACTTCACTGTTTACCCCTTTTTCCAGATCATTTATGAATATGTTGACCAAACCTATGGCCAAGACTTCTGTTGGTGAGAGAGACAAGCTTTCGAGCTTACTCAGAGCTCTTCTTCGGGTGACCTGAAGAAGAGCTCTGTGTGACTCCAAAGTTTGTCTCTCTCACCAACAGAAGCTGGTCCAATAAAAGATATGACCTCACCCACCTTGTCTCTCTAATATCCTGGGACCAACGTGGCTACAACTACACTATGTACAGTATTAGGTGCTTTTGAAAATTTTAATTGTCATCTTCAGAAAGGGCTGAATACCCACCTTCTGAAGATCAGACCACTTTAAAGTGTCTCATGGTGGGCACCCAAAAATGGACACTCCCAAGATCACCAGTTACTTTTGGAAATCTTGGCCCCTCTCTCTCTCTTCCCCCACTTCCTCTTCCCTGCCCCTCACCCAAATTGGGAACCTGTCCTTGGAATTTCAAGCTTAGGGAGAAATGAATTAATTTTAACCCAACAATCAATTGATTTGATATGGTTCCCATAATAATGCAGCTCAGGACACCCTTTCTTGGGCTAGGGAGGTTAAACTGACCTCATGTTTTAAAATAACCTACATTTCAATAAGGAGAAGTTGCCTGACCTTTGCTATTGAGATTAAGTTTCTCACTTGTCAGCAAGCCTGTCTAGATAATAATTACCCAAGCCAAAATTCATTCCGTGAAGTCTTTTCTTTTGTTTTAAATGTTCCTCTGTATTGTATATCTGAGTATAATAAAAGAGCCTAAAGTCCCCAAAGGATTTGCAGACAAAGGGTGTAAACCCTCAAAAGCGGGGGAGGGGGGAGAGGAGTTAGCATTGTGATCAATCAGTTATTGTAAACAACTTCTAACAAATATGAATAGGGGCTTGGGTTTGGTTTTCCAAACTCATGAACAGCAATTTATTTGAACAGCCTTGAGATAATCAGGTTAGAGTGAAATCCACTGTAGTAAATACCAAGATGAGACAAAAGTGCTTCTCTGAAGCCTGGTCTGCGCTAGGAAAACGACCAGTTCTTGATGATGGGGCCGACACTGGGGAAATTTCCCCCAAACTCTAACTGGTTTAAAACTGATTCAGCTCACCTGACTTTACACTGCACACCGCTGGAGGTGCTTGTAGGGTATGTCAAGCTACATGCCGCAGTGAAAAGCCTGTTGTGTCTACACTGTGGCGTGTAGCGATGTGGGGCAGTGAAAGGCTCTGGCAGGGGAAGACAGCAAGGAAAAGCTTCAGCAGCTCCCCGCTGCCCGAGTCTTTTCCCGCGGCAGGCAAGGGTCCAGAGAAAGACTCTGCCAATAGGGAGAGGGTGGGGTGCCACCACATCTTCCCGGCTGTTGCTGGATTAAAGCTAACACAGGTATGCGTACCCAGCCCCCACACTACAATCACCACTTAACTTTGCAGTGAAGACATACCCATAGACAGGCCTTGGGTGTCAGGGCTGAATGAAATTGAAATGGGGACGGACACAGTCTTAGTGTAATCAGTGGCGCTGGAAGACTTTTTACAGTGGGGGTGCTGAAAGCCAGTGGTCCCCAAACTTTTTACTTCACAGCCCCCTTTACCTCTGTCAATGCTCCCTCTTCTCAGAGCTGGGGCCAGGACCGGGCCATGGCTTCGGGGGGTGGGGAGGACATGGACGGGGTAAAGGGGCTGAGGCTGGGACCACAGCTGGGGTGGAAGCAGAACCCCGGGCGTGGGTCCTGCAGCCCCAGGTGCGGAGCTGGTGGCGGCTGGGACCCCAGGTGCGGGGACAGGAGTGGAGCCCCGGGGCACAAGGCTGGCAGCAGCCGGGACCCCGGGCGTGGGGCCAGGAGCAGAGCCTCAGGCACGGGGCCAGCAGTGCCGGGACCCTGGGTGTGAGACCAGCGGTAGGACCCTGCACAAAATCTGGGGGTGCTGCAGCGCCACCCCTGCGCCCCTAGTTCCCACACGTAGGAGTGCAAGACTAGAGTAGGCTTTAAGCATGGTTTCAGAAATCTGTCCTAGTCTACACTTGCAGTTCAACTGATTCACTAGGATTTGTACCTGTCACAATTTAAAGCACTATCTGTCAGGTGCTGGTGTTTTTACACAGCCCGTTCTCAGGCAGAAGTGGCGTTGAGCCATTGGCTTCATTTGGCCCAGCTCTGCTGTCTCACTGGGATCTGCCCATTGGGTAGTGAAGCCAAATCTCCCAGGGAGTGGCACACACATGCAAGGTCCCTGAGTGCAGGATGTTGTAATTGGATCTCAAATTGCCTGAGAGGCTCGTTAAAACTCCTGCGGCCAGGCAAAGCCCTGATGACTCAAAATCCACATTGTATCCTCCACCCACACACAGAAGCGGGTGGGAGTTTGCTGTCAGAATCAGAGGCCGGGCCTGGTCAAACACCATAGGCTCTGGAATACTCGTCCTTCCAGCAAGAGTGAGTGATAAATTACACCCACAAGACAGCCTGTTTCTGATAACAGCCTACTAATAACATGTGCAGGCTGGGCTGGAACCTCTTGCTTCACAGTCCATTTGGGGGATCCTCTCTCACAAAGGAGACAGCCATGCATAAATATTAGCAGCATTTCTTATCTACCAAGCACTCACCGCTGCTCAGTATAACATGACCCCTGCCCAAAGGGGCTCATTACCTGAATTACACAGAGGGCCAGATGCCCTGAAGCTGGCTGGAGAAGGTGTAAATGGGTCCCTGTGTAATACCCACAGACCCCAGTTGTGAGTGGGTGGGATTGAACCTGAGACCTCTGAAGCTAAATGCATGAGCCTCTACTGCATGAGCTAAAAGCCATATGGCTCTTAGCTAAGGCTGTAGAGCAGACTCATTAATCTCTCTTTAAGTGGTCTCGGTGCCACTAGATGGGACATAACACAAACAAAGGCACCTGTGAGAGGAGAGGGTTCTCTGGCTATTGTTTTGTGCAGGTTTGTGTGTCTGAGAGGAACAGCAGAAAAACCAGAGAAGCTGAGAGAAAAGGCAGCAAGGAAGCAACAGACAAAGCCTGAACAAGAACTGAGAGCATGGCCTTCAGAAAAGCCGAGAGACAGAGCTTTTGGGGCTGAGTGCTGGCTGAAAGAGGCTTGGAGCTGTGAGAAAAACAGCTGGCTCCCGTGATTTGATTCATCCTGTGTTCAGGGAAACAGGACTTTGTACATAAACAGGATTGCATCAAAGATACCTGGCCCTATCATCAATTTCCTCTTGTAACTGGAACAGAACGCAAGAGCCCAGGTTTTTAACTAACTGCTCGGGTCAAAAGGGGTAAGACAAAGTTTACCCCAGCAGATACCAACTGGATTAATATAGCCCAGACAATGCCGCTCAGACATACGCTGTGATAAACCAACTGAACAAAGAAAGCTCTTGTCGCACAGTGAAGAGTTATGGATTTCTTTAGTGGGTCATCCCTGAAAGGCTTAATGGAAGCTGTGAGGTTTAAGGAGGGGTTCAGAAGAAGCGAATTTGGTCAGTAGAGCTGGTTGGAAAATGCGGTTGTTTTCTATGGAAATTTGTGACTTTTCATTGAAAAATTGAAAATTTTTGGCTGAAAATCAAAAATTTGGGGGTTTAAGTTTTTTGATTTTCTGACAAAAAAATTAGAGGGAAGCAGAAACTTATTGCACAAATTTACATTTAGTCAACCCCTCAATTTTCCATAGAGAAAAGTTTTGATAGACAATTTTTCCTAGCCCTAATGGTCCAGGGCCGCCCGGGGGGGGGGGCAAATGGGGCAATTTGCCCCAGGCCCTGGGCCCTACAGGGGTCCCCGGACCCGCCTCCGCCTTCCCCCATCCCCCAGCGCCTCAGCGCGCCGCGTCAGGAGCAGCCCTGGACAGCACTGCAGTGGCATGGCTCCTCCCACTGAGTCAGAGCCGCATGGTAAGGGGGCGGGGCTACGAGCTCCAGTCCCACCGGAACCACGCCGCTGCAGCACTGTCCAGGGCAGCTCCTGGACGCGGCGCGCTGAGGCTCCAAGAGAAGGGAGAGGCGGCGGTAACCCAGGAACGGCCCTGGACAGCGCTGCTGGGGGGGCGGTCAGGGAACGGGGAACGGGGGGTTGGATCGTGGGCGTTCCGGGGGTCTGTCAGGACTCAGCGGGGGGGGGGGTGGATAGAGGTCGGGGCAGTCAGGGGACGGGGGGGTTGGTGGGGGGTGGGGTCCCAGGGGGGGTGGTTGCGGGGGGCGGTGAGGGGACAAGGAGCAGGTCGGGGATTCTGAGGGGGGCAGCCGGGGGGCAGGAAGTGGGTGGGGGTCGGATGGGGGCAGGGTCAGGCTGCTTGGGGAGGCACAGCCTTCCCTACCCTAAAGCTCATTCAGCAGTTTGAGGCTTGCAGACAGCTATTTAACACAATGAGCCAAGCTGTTACCTTTTCCCTTAGGGCTACCACCATCCCTTTTACTTCTCAAATGCCAAATTATAGTCTACATTTAATTTCAGTGCCATAGGGAGATTCATGTCAGGGGAGGGTAGCTTCATTTAAAATTAGCCACTCTAAATTAACAGTGATAGAGCCAAGAGAGCCATGGGGGAGGGATCACATGAGAAGAGCAATATCATACACCACCTACCTCCTTCCCAACCCTACCAAGGGAGACCCCCCTGCCCTGCATTCCCTGAGGCTCCAGAGGGGTTAATTCAGTGGTTCTCAAACTTTTGTACTGATGACTCCTTTCACATAGCAAACCTCTGAATGCGATCCCCTCTTATAAATTAAAAACACTTTTTTATATATTTAACACTATTATAAATGCTGGAGGCAAAGCGGGGTTTGGGATGGAGGCTGACAGCTCGTGACCCCCAGTAATAACCTCGTAACCCCCTGAGGCGTCCCGACCCCCAGTTTGAGAACCCCTGAGTTAATTTAATTTTAGCACCCTGTGTCCATTCACATGCTTGTGCTATTTTGAGCATTTCAGTTTTCACAACATAGGCTCATCCCAGATTCTGGAACAAGCTCAAATGCTCAGTTCGTGGAGTATGTCCATAAGCTATACTAAAGAAAAACCCACAGTAACCATTTCCAGTTTGTGAGGGACCCCATGGAGCCAGTCTCTAGGAAACAGATAAATTCATGGAGGTTAAGTCCATTAATGGCTATTAACCAGGATGGGTAAGGAATGGTGTCCCTAGCCTCTGTTTGTCAGAGGGTGGAGATGGACGGCAGGAGAGAGATCACTTGATCATTACCTGTTAGGTTCACTCCCTCTGGGGCACTTGGCATTGGCCACTGTCAGTAGACAGGATATTGGGCTGGATGGACCTTTGGTCTGACCCAGTATGGCCATTCTTATGTTCTTATATTCTAACCTAAATGAACCCAAAGTTATGGAGACAGATATGAGTCAAGAAAGCCAGCAGAGTATCAGAAACCTGGAAAAATCCCTGACTGGATGGGCTCTGGCGTTTGGTCACAAGCTGAGGTGGTTCAAACGTTTGGGATTTTTTTTAAGCAGAATTTTTTTATTGTTTCTTTAAAGAATCAAACACAGCAAGCAGCAAATATTTGGCCACACACTTCTGAAACCCCAAACCAGGTTCAGGTTTTGGCAGACTAATTTCAACTTTTCAATTAAAAAAACCACAACAAATTTTGAAGGAAAGCAGACAGTGTCCATGATTTTTTCTGCTTTTTAAAAACCCCTAGTTTTCGATCCAAAAAGAGTTTTGACAGAAAATATTTGTCCAACCCTTTTAATGAGCTTTAGTGCCTTTTAGCACTAGCTGATGCTGAGAACCAGTGATACCTTGTAAAGGTGACGTGAAAAGCAGTTTTCTCAAAGCTGGGTTTGTGCCGAGATGCGGAAGGTTTTTAAATGTTTATTTTTCCCAAGGCCACCCAGTGGAGGGAGGGGAAAGTGGGGCAATTTGCCCCGGGGCCGCAGGGGCCCCCACGAGAATATAGTATTCTATAGTATTGCAACTTTTTTTTATGGAAGGAGCCCCCAAATTTGCTTTGCCCCAGGCCCCCTGAATCCTCTGGGCGGCCCTGTAATGGTCATCTAGTAAACAAGGAGCCTCTTCCCAGCATAAGGAGCAACAGGGGTGAGAATGGAAGATGGAAAAAAGAAGAGAGTAATTAGGCTGGTGGCTTAGGGAGAATGACAGAAATCCTCAGGGGCTGTAGGAAGAGATGAGAACAGAGATGGAGTAAGGAGCAGCACTGTGCAGACCTCTAAGGGTGACAAATGGAAGCCTGGACTTGATGCACAAACCAGGCAGAGACCAGCCAAGGAAGGATGAAGCCAAGCAGTGAGGGGGATTTTCACAGTAGCTTTTTGGATGGACGGATCATGCAACAGTTCTGCATGGAGGCTGCTGCTCACCTCACAAATTATGCAGCTTTTTAGAGGCACTAATATGCAGATCTGAGTGCAGTGATTATCCTTAAGTAGCCAATTGGCAGGGGGTGGGTGGGGAAGGGGGAGTCTAGGGGTGGCTTGTTGCTGTTTCTTTTCCCCTGCTTTTATGGTAGCACATGGCTTTATCACCTCTGCTGCCATCACTGATCTAGTGGCAACTAGCTCTTTGTTCATAAGCTCAGCCCGGATATGGAGACAAAGGCCAGTGATCAAGCTTGGATCTGAAACAAAGTTTTTCCAAGTTTGGAACTGGGGTTTTGGTTCAGACTCATCTGTATCTTCATTGACCTATTGGAGGATGGTCCCGGCTTTTTAATACTATTGTGAGATCCAGGGATAACCCTGGATTGCAACACAAGTTGCCGTTACACTGATGCTGCCAAGCATTACAAATATGTGTAGCTGTTGGACCATAGCCATTGCTCTTTGTGACAATATGTGGGGAAGAGCAAATGAAAATCCCTACATCTCACACAGCACCACACCCAGATGTCAAAATATCTTCCCAGCTGCCCTGCTCTTTCTAATGTGTTTCCAGAGCTCTAGTCCAGGGGTTCTCAAACTTCATTGCACTGCAAACCCCTTCTGGCAGCAAAAATTGCTACATGACCCCAGGAGGGGGGACCAAAGCCTGAGCCCACCCGAGCCCTGCCGTCCCGGGTGGGGGGGCCAAAGCCTAAACCCCAACACCCTTGGTGGGAGGGGTCAAAGATGAAGCCAAAGGGCTTCAGCCCCAGGTGTGGGGGCCTGTAGCCTGAGCCCCGCCGCTCAGGGCTGAAGCCAAAGCCAGACCCCTGCCGCCCAGAGCTGAAGCCCTTGGGTTTCAGCCCCAGGCGGTGGGGCTCGGGCTTCAGCTTTGGTACTGGGCGGTGGGGCTCGGGCTTTGGCCCCAGGCCCCAGCAAGTCTAAAGCCAGCCCTGGTGACCCCATTAAAACGGGCTCATGACTCACTTTAGGGTCCTGATCCGCAGTTTGAGAACTGCTGCTCTAGTTCGTTTGAATCATTTGGCTTTTTCCTCTGACAATCAGCAAACAAGATCTCTCTGCACTTTTTTTTTTCCATTTCTTTAGTTTTACAGGTGCTGCTTTGTATTTTGTTACATCTGTAATTCCAGGTCTTTATTGAAAATAACCTACCCCCACTTTGTAAACCTAGGTCAGCAGCTGAGGGCAATTTATCACTAACCATTGCTCAGTCATATGTTAATGTTTGAGCAAGGCCATAAAAGAATTACATCATATTACCTCTGACCAACTTTCAAGGCAATGAATCTTTATAAAGCCCAAGCACTGGTTATTGACAAGCTACATTCTCTCCCGACAGGGCCACAGAGAACATCTCCATCATGAGCTTCAATGGAAAGTTTGAACTCCAGTCCCAGGAAAATTTTGAGCCTTTCATGAAAGCCCTTGGTAAGTATCAGATACATGTAACTATGTTTAGTGTGTGTTGCCTCTGTCCATATGTAGTGTCCAACATTGGTTAAAATTAGTCTATTGCGTGCAGGCATTCAGGATTTAGATGAAAATAATTTTAATTTCTAATATTGAATTTTACTGTCCTTAATTTTTATACATTAATATGTATTTAAAATACCTAACACTGTACATGTGATCTTATGCATTCATGAAAAGAACACATAATGGAAGAGTCTCTATGATTGACATGCAGGAAACAATGCATAAAATTCTCTGGTCTGTATTATGCAGGAGATCAGTCTAAAATACCATAATGGTCCCTTCTGCCCTAAGAGTCTGCGGGCCAGATCCTCGGCCACTGCAGACCGGTGTGAATTTCCACCTAAGTCAGTGGAGGTGTGCCAATTTACACTGGCTGAGGAGCTGGTCCGAGGAATCTATTAAATGAATCTCTGTTGATTTTGCCTTGACTCTGCTAATCTGTCACTCTGTTCATTTTGTATGGAACCTCTGATTCAATTGTTTGCCAAGAACTAGGTAAAATGGGCCACTTATTTAGGTGCCTGAAGGTAGATTTAGGTGCCTGCTTTTAGACACTCAAGTTTGAAAAATGTTGGCTTACATTTTCAATAACTTTCTAGCCAGGGATTGTATTTTCTCCAGTCTCTCTAGATATTCATCAGTGATTTGCTTTATCATTTCTTCCATGTATTGTGACATGCTTTTTACCTTTCATATGTACAATTGGCTTCAGGATTTTGAGGGATCCCAGCCAGGATATTCTTGGGGTCCCTATTCCTCCCACATCTCCACAAAAATTCCTGTCTTCTCCTCTCCTCCATCCACTTTCTTTTGCTTGATCTTTTCTTTCCCCTTAGACTTTCAAGGTGGGGGCAGAGGTGGCATTTCTTCCTCTTTCTAACCAGCTGTGTAGGACAGGGGACAAGTCCTGGGGTTGGAGACTTTCCCCAGACTAGACTATGAATGACATTGTTCATTGCACTCAAACAGCAGCCAACCGCATGGTCCTATGTTAACGTAGGAAGTGTCCCTCAGAGTGAGGCCAATGTGTACCAGTCAAGGAGCCCTCTCAGCCGTGGATTTCACAGCCCCGAAAGCTGACTGTTTGTGTGGCTTCCCCGTCTGCCCCAGAAGTAGCGCTCCTCAGAACGCTCATTAAGCCTAGGCTTTTATTTCTGGCCAGGTCTTTCTGATGAATTGATCCAAAAGGGCAAGGACATCAAGAGCATCTCAGAAATTGTACAGAATGGCAAAAAGTTCAAGGTCACCGTGACAACCGGCAGCAAAGTGCTGATCAATGAGTTCACTATTGGAGAGGAGGCCGAGCTGGAGAGCCCAACTGGAGAGAAAGTCAAGGTAGGTGCCCAGTCTTCCCTTCGTGTAGGGCTGTGGGTTGCTGAGCATCTCCTGTGGGGTGCTGAGTGCCCTGAGAGTGCTCAGTCTCCAGGTAGGGGCCCTCTGCACCTTGCAGGATCCTGCCCTGACACCGCGTCCCAGCTACACTATCCCACAGAAAGGGCTGAACTGACATTGCCCCCAGTACAAGGCAGTTGATTTCTAGTAGACTTGTAGAACTTTATTTCCTTTTCATCTAACCCAGAGGTGCCCCAGATTTGCTCAACTAACTGCCACACCATCAGCTTGCCCCTGGACAGCCACAAGATGCATCAAAGCCCGTAACTGCTCCTGGGCTAAATTCTCTGCTCATGTAAACGTGTGCAGCTCTTCTAACTTCAGCGTAATTGCATCCATTTACACTGGCAAAGAATTTGGCGCCTGGTGTGTAATAGGGATGTGTGGCCGTCAATGATCAGAGCTCCCAGCATGCACATGGATCAAAGTGGAGCACTGCATGCTGGGACCCGTAGTTGCTGTGGCCTGAGTCCCAGGTAGTGAAGTTTTAGGTGGCCATGGATTGTATTGTGTAACTTCATGGATTGATCTTGGCTCACAGCTTGGCCATGTGTGATTTATTGTAGTGGAGGGGAAGTAAAGCTCCAAACCGTAGCTGAGGGAAGCATTGCACAATGGAGAGGATGTCTGGCCACTTGGGTGCCATGCCTTGCCCTGTTTTAGACAGGATGTCAGCAAGTCTCTTACACAGCCCGTGGCAGTGAGCCTCTGAGCCCACTGTGACGGGTTGGATCACAGAAACCCCCTTGGGAGCTGCCACCCGATGTGCCAAGACTACCCCTGCTTCTGTTTTCCCTGCCAGCTCAGGACTCCAGCCCCCTGTCTTGCTGAGCGAGACACTCCAGTCTGGCTCCAACACAGACCCAGGGTCTGAATCACTTGTCCCAAAACTGCAAGTTTACCCAAAAACAGCTCACAGGAGTGTGCTTATCTTTAGCACTCAGATGCCCAACTCCCAATGGGGTCTAAACCCAGATAAATCCGTTTTACCCTGCATAAAGCTTATGCAGGGCAAACTCATAAATTGTTCGCCCTCTATAACACAGATAGAGAGATATGCACAGTTGTTTGCTCCCCCAGGTATTAATACATACTCTGAGTAAATTACTAAATAAAAAGTGATTTTATTAAATACAGATAGTAGGATTTAAGTGGTTCAAAGTAGTAACAGACAGAACAAAGTAAGTCACAAGCAAAATAAAATAAAATGCGCAAATCTATGCCTAATCAAACTAAATACAGATAATCTCACCCTCAGAGATGCTTCAGTAAGTTTTTCTCAGACTGGACACCTTCCAGGCCTGGGCACGATTCTTTCCCCTGGTACAGCTCTTGTTCCAGCTTAGGTGTTAGCTAGGGGCTTCTCCATGATGGCTCCTCTCTCTCTCTGTTCTCTTCCACCCCTTTATATATCTTTTGCATAAGGCGGGAATCCTTTGTCCCTCTGGGTTTCCACCCCCCCCCACTGGAAAAGCGCCAGGTTAAAGATGGATTCCAGTTCAGGTGACATGATCACATGTCACTGCAAGACTTCATTACTCACTTGCCAGCACACACATATACAGGAAGACTCAAAGGTAAATACAGCCATCTGCAGACAATGGGAGTCATCAAGATTCCAAACCATCCTTAATGGCCCACACTCTACATAATTACAATAGGTCCTCAGAGTTATGTTTTATATTTCTAGTTTTAGATACAAGAGTGGTACATTTAAACAAATCAGATGATCATACTCAGTAGATTATGCGCTTTGTAATGATACCTTACAAGAGACCTTTTGCATGAAGCATATCTCAGTTACATTATATCACTTATTACCGTATTTTCTCTAAACCTATCCCAGTTACATTATATTGACTTATTATTATATTTTTATAAAACCATGTAGACTGCACAACGTCACACCCAGGTCAACAGACTCAGGTTCACTGGGCTCATGCCTAGGGTGACCAGATAGCAAGTGTAAAAAATCGGGACAGGAGGTGGGGGGGGGGGGCGTAATAGGAACCTATATAAAAAAAAGCCCCCCAAATCGGGACTGTCCCTATAAAATCAGGACATCTGGTCACCCTACTCACGCCACAGCACTAAAAATAGCTGTGTCGACATTGCAGCTCGGGCCGGAGCTCAGGCTCTGAAACCTAGGGATGGGGTGGGCTTTAGAGCCCAAACTGCAGCTTAAGAGCACCATCTATCACAGCTATTTTTAGCACTGTGGCATGAGCCAGAGTCTGTCGTCCTGGGCATGGCGCTCACTGCTGCGGACTGCCATTGTCTGTGTGTCAGCAAAGTTTCAAAAGTGGCCTCCAATGTTGGGTGCCTCTCTTGCTGAGTGCCCTATTTTAGAACCCCAGGGCTTAATTCTAAGAGGTGCTAAGCACTTTCTATTGACTTCGGTTGGACGTGTGGCTGCTCACTGTTACTAGATTCCCACTTAAACTCATCACTTGGCACCTGTGATAATCAGGCCTTGGATTTCTAAAGTTAGACGCCCAAAACTATAGGCCGCCCCTGAAAATGCGGGCTGTAACCGCTCTTTGCCTCAGTTTCCCCATGGGTAACATGTTTGAGAGCCACAGCTGAACAATTCTGTAAAAGTGCTAAATACTGTTCTTCCAGACTAGTCAGCTGAATCAGGTTTGACTTCATGTGGTCTGTTGCATTACAAAAGAGACATTGAGTTCCATTTTATTTTAAAAAAAGGGAATGATGAAATGTGGCAGGAGATGTACAGGCATAAAACAAAAACCTGCCCTCTTAAAGAAGGATTATGTGCAGGCTCTTTGGCTGCTCTGACTGCTCCTTCCTCTGCCCTTGTTTGCGTGTGGAATTAGGGTTCATAGCTCTTAAAACTGGATGGTTCCTGTTCCTGGAAGGGAAAGGACAGATACAGTGGTTCACTTAAAACCCCAGCATTGGCAATTCCTGCCCCTCACCGTCTCTATCTCATCAGCAGGTGGCTTTCTAGATCTTTTGAAGGCTGGAGGAATTCCTCAGTCACCTGAAATACCACTGCAATGCTACAGACCTAGAGGTCGCTGAGATCCCACATGTGTTGTACTGGGGATAGCATCATGAACTTCTGGAGCAAACCACAGGCCACCAGCACTTGAGCTAAAGGAGAATTCTCTGCAAGTGGGGCTATAAGAGTTTTACCTTCTATATAACAGCCACAAGGGAGCATGTAGGTTGATACTATTTGTATTATCATACTGCCTAGGAGCCCCAGTCATGGACCAGGACCCCACTGTGCTAGGTGCTGTACAAACGTGGAACAAAAGGACATTCCCTGCCCCCAAAGAGCTTACAATCTAAGGAGGTAGACAGATAAATAATGTTTTCCTATTGAAGGATTTTACTTGTGTAATTTCAGTTAGAAGTGATGTTAAACCACTTAGGACTCATCTACACGGGGACATCCAGGAAAGTTAGTCTGAAGGAACTAAAGGTGTGAATTTGAAATGGATTAGTTACACTGCATTAAACTCCCGTGTAAACACCCTCATTCAAAATTATAGTGGCCTTAATTTGGTATAGTAACTAAATGGAATTAAGGCCACTTTTAATTCTGAATAACAGCATCCACACAGGGATTTAATGTGATTTAACTAATCCACTTCAAATTCACACCTTTAGTTAATTTGGAGTCTTACACTTGCCTAATATATCGAATAATTAGACACGTGAGTGCAAATTGGTCTTTATTCCACAGGCAATAATGTTCACGTCTCTCTTCCCCCCCCCCTCCCCCCCCTCTATCAGGCTGTTGTTCAAATGGAAGGTGACAATAAACTGGTCACGAACTTGAGCAAAATCAAATCCATCACTGAAATAAAGGGAGACATAGTCACCAATGTAAGTATAAGAGGTTATATATAACATTAGAAAAATGTCATCACTTACAACATGAGACTATGGTGGGTGTTTCTAATGGATACCAGCAAGAGCAAGTAGCTATCAGCATAGACTACTGACCCAGAGTACTGGTTCATACATGGGCCAGAACTTCCACAGGTATAAGTTGGCATAGTTCTTCTGACTTCACTGGAGCTATGCTGATTCCCACCAGCTAAGCATCTGGCCTATTAGGTAGTAATGTATGAGAATCAGTTCTTTTAAATATATCATGTACAAGCGTGTGCGTACTTTGGCCTTTTGTTAATGACTAACATCTACCCCAGGTGCTTAAGTTTGGTTGGTCAATCAAGTGGCCATTTTAAATAAGAATGTGCAGTACGCTACATGCTGTACACCCTTAATTATCCAACGGGCATTGGGGGCACTGAAAAGTGTGAATAATCAAGGTTTCAAGTAAGTGAAGAATGTTTTCACTCTCATTGTAGTAGAAGTTGTGGGGCATGACTCTGTGTCGGAAAAAACGGGAGGAGGCTCAGCTGACTGGTTTCAAATAAGCAAGGTCACACGGGACACACACATTTTAGAATATTTATTAATATAGTTAAAGGATTAGCAGTGCAATTTAAAGGAGATACAGTTGGTTGGCCTTGGGCCCCACCCTGAAGTGTGGGTCTCTGGTCTGCGGGATCAGGGCCTTGATATGTGTGATATTTGCAGGCTACTTCAGTGAAAGACTAACGCGTTGTGCTTTTTATTTGATTTCTAGACAATGACCCTGGGAGACATCAGCTACACGCGAATCAGCAAGAGAATCTAGCTATCCTGTGCATTTCCTATAGTGTGTAAAGTGTGCCCAATAAAGTACAGTTTGTATTAAAGCACCTTTGTTGTTATTAATTATTATTATTATTTTATTATTAGCATCCTCCTTGTCATTTGGTGGCAATGCTGTGATTCACAGATGCCTATTGTAAGAGCTGTATTGGCCGCAGTTTCTATCCATTTTCCTAGTGAACAGCTATCCATATCACAAAAGCCACCACCACAATTGGCACAAACTGGCTAGCAAGTTCTACACAGAGGGCACAGTATGAATGGGCTATAGCGACTGTACTACCCTCTGTGCCACAGATGTGGTTCCTCCGGGTCAGCGTTGAGACCCACTGCTGCTGCCCATGCTGTATTTGTTCAGTTGCTAAACACAGGCATCACATTGTTGGTTCATATTCAATTTGTGAGCCGCCAGAACCCCCAGATACTGCAGTACTACCACCGAGCCAGATAGTCCCATTTTGTAGTTGCACAGCTGATTTTTTCCTTCCTAAGGACTTTGCATTTCTCTTTATTGAATTTCATCTGGTTGACTGCAGACCAATTCTCCCATTCATCTAGGTCATTTTGAATTTTAGCCTCAGGGCGGGAGGGGCGGGGGGACCAGCCGTAGGGCTCCCCACCCCAGCTCATCTCTGCTACGCCCCCTCCCCGAGCATGCCGCCCCCTCCGGCAATGACAATAATTGCATGGAGAGGCCGCTGCGCTAGGAGAGGGAGTCTGAGCCGCACGTGTCAGCGCACCGCCGGCAGCCCAGCCCAGGAACGCTGTAAAAAAAAATTGGGGGCACTGCTTTTTGGCGCCCCCAAATCTTGGCACCCTAGGCAACCGCCTAGTTTGCCTTAATGGTAGCACCGGCCCTGCATGTGGGACTGTGTCAAAAGCCTCACTAAAATCAAGATATAGCATGTCTGCTGCTCCCCGCATCCACTAGGCCAATAACCCTGTCAAAGAAGGAAATTAGGCTGGTTTGGTATCATTTGTTCTGGACAAATCTATATTGGCTCTTACTTATCATCCTCTTATCCTTTAGGTGCTTACAAACTGGTTGTTGAATAATTTGTTCCAGTATCTTTCCAGGTATCAAATGTCCCGTGAAGATGATGTTTCCAAACATTTATACAGTTGAACACAGCTTCAGGAATATGAAACCAATCACACACACACACACACACACACACACACACACACACACCCCTTCAACCTCACTGGGTTGTTAAAGGCCTGACCCATCTTAATGTACACATCTTCCACAACCCTCTCCCCTCACTAGTCCTTTGCACCCACCAGTGAGGCGTGCCCCATACTTTGGGAAACACCATGGTAGATCTTCATAATACCATCTTCCCTCTTCCTGCCTTACAGTGAACAGTTTTGGCATTTAAAGTGTCTCCACTGGCCTCCGAGTTTACACCCATTGACATGAATTCAGCCGTTCAGAGCCATAGTTTCAGGCTCTCTGCAGGAGAGTCCGGAATTTATTTTCAAACCTTAATTACCTTGCAGAGGCATTTTCTCCAATTTACTTGCAAGTGTCAGGTTGGGGATTCCCAGGGCTGGGGAAGGGGTCCCAGCTCCACACACACACCTACCCTCCCTCCTAGGTGCATCAGAGTTAAACTCCTGGAAAAAGTACCACACTTTATGATATAACAACACCTTCCCCTGTGCCAGGCAAACCCAGGGGAAGACCTCTAGGTGGTGTTACAGACTGCTTTGCCACCAGTACACCATAAAGAATCAGCCCAGGGACAGATCTCTGGCAGGAGTTCCACAGAGTCCCTTGCCCTGACATAACCTGCTAATGGCGCTGAACAGAATCCAAACCAGTCTCAAGGATGATGTTAGCAGCATGGTCATGGTCTAGCTTTCACTAACAGCGGATGAGAATTGCTTTGTAGGTGCATCTGTTGAATAGGATTAATTACAGGAAGGTTTAAAGAGACGCTATGTTAATACACACCAGGGCAAAACTGGTTGTCAGATTGCTGTGCCTCTTCCATGCAGTGAAAATCAACAACACTTAACACCCTGCAAACATTATCTAATCAATCTTTCCAGCACTCCTGTGAGATGGGATTGGTATCCAATTAGACTCCAGGAGCTCAGTCTGTTTAGCTTAATCAAGAGGAGGGTAAGTGGTGACTTGATCACAACCTATGAGTACCTTCGTGGGCACTTTAATCTAGCAGACAAAGGTAGAACAAGATCCACTGGCTGGAAGTTGAAGCTAGACAAATTCAGGCTAGACCAATGAGAGTAATTAACAATTGGAACAAATGACCAAGGGTTTGGGGTGGATCTCCATAAGTGGCAATTTTAAAATAAAGACTATACGTTTTTTTAAGAGACATGATCTAATTCAAACAGGAATTAATTCAGGGAAGTCCTTTGGCTTGTGCTATACAGGAGGTCAGACTAGATGAGTACATGGTCCCTTTTGGCCCGGGAATCTATGAACCTGCACTTTACAGATGGTGAACAAAAGAACATAAAGGCCATATTGGATCAGACCAATGGTCCATCTAGCTTAGTATCCTGCCTTCTGATAGTGGCCAATGACAGGTGCTTCAGAGGGAATGAACAGAACGGGGCAATCATCAAGTGATTCATCCCATCACCCATTCCCAGCTTCTGGCAAACAGAGGCTTAGGGACCCCCAGAGCATGGGGTTGCATTCCTGACCAGCTTGGCTATTAGCCATTGATGGACCTATCCTTCAAGAACTCATCTAATTCTCTTTTGAATCCAGTTATGGTTTTGGCCTTCACAACATCCCCTGGCAATGAGTTCCACAGGTTGACTGTGCGTTGTGTGAAAAATATTTTCTTTTGTTTGTTTTAAACCTGCTGAATATGGCACAGAAGGCCAAATACAAAGGTGAAGCTAAACTGATGTAATTTACAGTTCTTTCCAGCCTCACCAGAGTTCACATTTTTTTAGCTTAATTTAGACTTAACTCTGAACTTGGCTAGAGAGAGTAAGTGACTTTACCAAAGTCAATGACAGAGGCGAGATTGGAACACAGATTATGCTGGCTCTCTTGCCCATTGCACTAGATCGTATTCCTTACCACCAGATAAGTCCAAGCTGAACTTGACATTTCTTGAACCAAACCAAGTATGCAGGAAAGATATTGGCAGTGACATCTGTCATTCTCTTTCTAAAGGAATCGTCCTTTCTACCCACTCCCCGCCCATCAGGGTTCAGTTCCTATGGCACACGAGCCCTAAAGCCACCCCTGGCTATATACTACATTAGATCCAGCTGTGGTACTCACTGCAGGCCCCATCTGCAGTTGCCTCACAAATTAACTTACACACCAGGCTTAAGCATGGTTGTTGTATTGAAACAGAATAAGCACGACACAGTTTGGTCGGCCAGCACGAATGGGGCCAAAGCACATTAGAACGCCGACAGTGCTCCAGCCCAGGTTAGGACTGGGGACTAAAGTAAGTAGGAGCAGTGAAGAGGACATCTCCCCCTCCTCCACTAACAGTAGACGGGAGCTCCCACACTGTGGCCGAGGGAAGCAGTGCTTCCCCGCCACTCCCTGCCCCGTTGGTTCGTGTGATGGAAGCTAACCATTCTGTTTCAAACTTCTTTGGCCACTGGTTTGGGCCTACACCAGAGCCCCATTTCTGATCACCGTCCGAACCTGTTTTGACTTCATCCATGCTGAGATTTAAACCATTGTCTATGCACTTTTTAATCGGCATTCCAGTGTCAGCCACCCTAGTTTATATGGCCTTAATGGTACCTAAATTCTTCTACCTAAGGTAGGATCTCTAATTAATCTCCATACTGGTCATAGTACTGCCTAAAGTCTGCTCCATTCAGCAGGTTAGTTCCTACATTACAAAATCGTTTTTGAACTATAGAAAAATGGCAGGAAAAGTGTCTTTACTTAAAACTTCCTCAGTGCCAAATCCTAATAGCTTTCCTCAGTTTTCACTCAATCCTCACACAGACAAGACTCCCTTTGGGCCGAACCCTGTAGTCCATCCTCATTTTTACTGGGTTCTATCCCCATCCTCACTTAGGCAAGCACCCGCTGACTCCAATGGAAGTTTTGCTTGAGAAAGAACTGATTGAAAGTCTAAGTGAGGGACTTCAGGATTTGGCCTTATATGAAGAGAACTAGCCCTAAAATGAATTATTGTGGAAGCGATGCTATAATGACCCTTTTATTATTTGTGGAAACAGGATCTATTTCCTGTGAAATATTTCTTAGCTGGTGCCCTGAGCTCCTGGAAGAATACTTGTCAAGAGCCACTCTCAGGAGATCTATGTGTTCTTAGTTAGATGGCATTGTGCTCATTACAAATAACCTCTTCAGATTTGGAAGAAAAGGGTTGATGTTCTACCAGATGTGCAGGAATACAGATAACTGGAAGCGATGGGGTTACTGCTTCGTGTAGAAGAGGCCTGATGGCGCGTCATTGGTGGGCTCAGCCATAACTTGGATCTTCTGGTTCTTCAGGGCTGCTTCTCTCATTTTGTAATACATGAACTCATTCTGTTGGAACATGCGCAGCTCCATTTCTGACTGGACACGCATGACCTGCAGGGATGAAATCAAAGGGCAGGCCAAGTGGTGAAAAGTCTACAATCTCTCTCAAAGTAAAGAAATAAAGTACCTTCTAAGGTAGGATAGTGGTCTCCTGCTCCCCAGTTCTGTTAGATGGCTGAACATTGGTGCCATCTAATCACTATTCAGTGGCCCATATGACAAGGGAGGATGACCTCAGTCTGGTTCCATAACCCATCCCTCATCAGGGAGGCCAAAGGCTGCCTAAACATAGAGACTCAGCTACTCTCCCAAACCCAGTCGTGGTCCCTCCTAGACCAAGCTAATTAGTGGTGAGGCAGCGTGGCGTAGATTGCACTGCCACTGTCTGCTGTGGTTCTTCTGCAGACAAATACAGGTTCCCATTCCCAAAGTTGTCAACCCAGAGTTCTTTATGAGCACAAATTCATGGCCAGTGCTAGATTACAGGGCTGCCCCTGCGCCTATACAGGCAGAGAAGGGGTGCTAAGGATTCCCTTTACACCCCTCTGCAGGCCAGCTGGCCTTGGATCCAGGCACAGAAGGGTAAATGGGTGCTGTGAGCCCACTGTTCTCCTCCTGGAGAAGCTGGGCAGGGAGCAACAGGGAATGAGCAGAGCCTTGACTCCATCCTCCAATACACCAGCCAACTGAGCTAAGTCAGTGTGCCTGGGAGAAAGTGGGGTAGTACTTTGCTGCTTCTGTAAGCCAGCAACAAATTACGATCCCGGGAGCAAGGGGAGAGCATATGTAACCCACACACCTCCTGGTGTTCTGTCCCATTGAGTGGCATCAAGACCACTTAGAGAGAGAGATCAAATTAGTCTGCTCTACAGCCTTAGCTAAGGGCTTTTAGCTCATGCAGTAGAGGCTCATGCACTCAGCTCCAGAGGTCCCAGGTTCGATCCACCCGCTGACGACTGGGGCCTGTCGGCGTTACAATGGAATGAAGTGGGTCACTAAAGCACAATTCCTTTCCTAGGGAGCTCCTGGGAGAGCACAGCAACACACTGCCCCTTATTATGGGCTGAGGAAATAAAATGCACATTTGGCA